GGTTTTCAGCAAAATGAACCTCCGTTCAAGAATCAGTTTATTAAGAGTGCACTGAGAGGACCTGAAAACCCAAAACAGCAGTCACTGCTGCCCCTTCATCCTTCATGGGAAGCAAGCAGGAGGCGAAAAGAGCAGCAATCTAAAATCGCCGTGTTTCAAGGGAAAAAAATTACATTCGATGATTGATTAGTACTTTTTGCATACTTTTCCATCTAAAAAAATTTTTTTTCTTTCTTTTTTAACCAGCCCATTATTTAAACTCGTATTTGAATATGTCTCTTTGGAGGGGTATAGAAATAAGTTTGTTGTTGTCTTTATTTCTCTTTTTTAAGTATGTTCAAGTTATGTTTACATAAGCCTTCCACAAATCAACTACATAAGTTGATTTTTTTAAAAAAATGCTCAAACTATTCCCTTTACAAAAGGATTTTGAAATTATAATTCAGTTTTCCTCATTTGTGCTTGTCATGAAGTTATTTCACTGGTTTAGGTCTGTGTTTCTTTGCCTTGAAAATAAATATCAAGATATATTTAAAATAGTAATGGGAAATATGAGAAAATTGTAGCTATTTAAAATAGATCATCTTTGCTAAGTTATTCTTGTTAGCAAAACTAAGATTAAAATAGTAACGTTCATTATGGGTATACAAGATAATAAATTATACAAATAAATATTAATTTTTATTATAATTTTAAAAAAAAGAAAGAAAAAAAAAGAAAACATAAGAAGACTTGTTTTCAACTACCATCATATGCTGCATAATGATGTTTTGGTCAACCATGGACCAAATACAAGACAGTGGGAGAAAATAAAAGCCCATGTGTGTCATTGCCCCTGAAGGCCTCCCCGTGGGAAAGATGGGCAGGTGGACGGCAGTGCTGTTGGGGATCCTGACCTTGTGCAGGCCAGGCTCATGTGTGTTTGTGTCTTACTTTTTAACAAAAATGTTTAAAAAGTAAAATATAAATTTTAAAAATAGGAAAGAGCTTACAAAATAAGGATATAAAGAAAGAAAATATTTTTGTACAGCTGTACAATGTGTTTGTGTTTTAAGCTTAGTGTTATTGCAAAAGAGTCAAAATTTAAAAAAATTTTACAGTTTACAAAGTAAAAAAGTTAGAGTAAGCTCAGGTTAATTTATTACAGAAGAAAAAAATTTTTTATAAATTTAGTGTAGCCTAAGCGTACAGTGCTTAGAAAGTCCACAGTAGTGCACAGTGATGTCCTAGGCCTTCAAATTCACTCACCACCCACTTACTGACTCACCCAGAGCAACTTCCAGTCCTGCAAGCTCCATTCATAAAAGGCATACAGGCATGCCTTTTTTTTTTATCTTTTATATTGTATTTTTACTGTACCTTTTCCATGTTTAGATGCACAAGCACTTACCATTGTGTTACAATTGCCTACATGCAGTATAACAACATGCTGTACAGGTGTGTAGCCTAGGCACTATATCCATGTAGCCTAGGTGCGTAGGTGGCTATGCTAACCAGGTCTGTGTAAGTGCGCTCTATGATGCTCATATATGATGAAATCACCTAACTTCACATTTCTCAGAACATAGCCCCATTGTTAAGTATCACATGACTGTACTGATTTACTTATAGAAAAATATACAACAAACTATACCTCTTCCCTTCTTAATGCCCTACAAATAGGAATCAATAGATATATGTAACTATGCAGCTCTGATTTGCTTAAGTGGATCTAATGTACTCATTATGTTTTTATGTAGCTATACTTATGATTAAGGATTTTTTAAAAATAAAATACTCATTTATCTGCGTTAACAACAAACAAAACATTCACTTCACATTTCTGATGCTTCACTACTGAGTACTATTTATATACCTGATGTGCTTTATTCAAATGTAAAAATGCAGAGGAGATGGATGGATTCATCAGATGTGACAAGCTGTGAGGTGTTCCAAGAACTGCTTTAAGAAAACAAAAGTAAAAATTTAACTTTATAATATATATGCAATTTAAAAATAAATAAAACTCCAAAAAGGGTAAATATTTCTTTAAACTGTTAACAAATTCATTGCAAGTTCATTTAGATACTGACCTTGTCATTGCACAAAAAGCGAGATTCTTTCCTTGTGATTCAACCCTAAAATTTGATTTAAAATTCCAACACCTTCTGTCATACTGGTAAAGGACCAAACCTAGCCTTTCTCTTCTCTAGTACTTAGTGCAACAAAACCAATTCCATCTTTTAATAAGTATAATACTAATTAAACCCATGTTCTTTGATCAGTGTTTTTGTTAGGTCTTTGGGGTATTTTGGCAGGGAGTGGGGGGGGGGTGAGGGGAGAGGACAAAATACAATCCTGTTCTAGAAAAGCTTACAATCCAATTGAGAAGAGACTATATGTACATAAAAATATTTATGCACAAAAATAAACACAAGAAACAAAAACAAAAGAAACAGCTATACATAGCTAATATAAGGAATAAATGGTAACCATACTCTTTATCAAGTTTGTCTAAAAGCACAAATACCAGAAATACCAGAGTGCATACCAGAAGATACGTTTTCAGAACAGACAATACATAGACAAAATGAACCACGAGATAAAAAAATATATAAAGCAATTTCATCAAATTATTATAAACTGGAATTAGTCAAATATATACAAAATTCTCTAGCAATACAAAAATTGGCTAGAACCACAGGTCAGACTTAGAGAGTACTTCAAAAAGCATATAATCTAATGATCAAATATATATATATATATATATATATTTTTTTTTAAAGATTTTATTGGGGAATTGGGGGAGGGGAACAGCGTTGGGGAATCAGGGAAGGGGAACAAACAAGTTGCTGTCCTTTTGTTCTTCAGTTGTGGAGGCCATCGCTTCACTGGCCCATGTTGGTATCATCATTGCGCTCTTCCTAGGCGAGGCAGATCAGTCGCTGGCCACTGGACGGCCGCTCACGGCAGCTCTTGGCCGCTCACGGCAGCTCTTGGCTGCTCACGCTGGCTGCCAGCCACTCACACCAGCTGCCAGCCACTCATGGTAGCTTACGGCAGCCCACTACAGCTGGGGCTGCAGCCTATGCTGTTGCTGGCAACTCACGGCAGCCCAGCTCCAGGTAAAGCTGTTGTTCACCATCTTAGCTGTAGAGGGCAGCGCATTGGCCTTCAAGTGGGATCCGAACCGGGGCCCTGCTGCACAGAGCTGACATCCCAAGCCAACTCTTAACCAACGTGCCACTCGGCCGGCCCATGATAAAAAATATTTGAAATTTATATATAATAGTCCTACAAGTTCATCCTATGCTTTAAAAACTGTTACAAGTTTTTATTGTTTGCTGAGACAATACACTACATCCTTGGAAAACTGACCATTAGAAAGTGCTTTCTTTAGAATGAGCCAGTTTCACTATAGGTGGTAGGAAGATTAGATCATTACATTGAGTTGCTTATAAAGACACTGTTTATTAGGAAAGAGGGATAAAGATGGTCATTTCATAACAATAAAGGGGTCAATTCATTAAGAAGCTGCAACAATGCTAAATGTCTCTGCACCAATAACAAAGCTTCAGTATATATATAAAGCAAAAATTTCTAGACCTGAAAGGTAGAGAAATTCACAATTATAATTAGAAATTTCAACACCACTTCCTCTTTCTTTTCATATCGTCACTGCATTTTGTTATCAAACATTAAAATAGAGCTTTCACAGCTTATAGTGAATACAGTATTTCCCAGTTTAAAACAACAACTAGAATCAAAATACTCAGAAAATGTCCACAGTCTCATGTGTAACTAACTGCTCTTTACCCTTAGGTCTTGGCTAGGTCTCCCACTATGCCCCACCCCTCCCTCGCAATAACTAATAGAATAAGTTGACAGAAAATTAGTAAGGCTATAGAAGACTTGAACAACACTATCAATCAAGAATAAATACAAATAATTATAATACATCATGACCAAGTGAGGCTTACCCTAGGAATGAAAGGATGGTTTAACATTCAAAAATCAATCAATATATAATTCATCATGTGAAAAGACTAAAAAAATCCAATAAAAAACCTACCACATATGATCAGATCAGTGAGTGGAGAAAAGCAATGGATAAATTCCAGCAATTATCATGATAAAATTTCTCAGCAATACAAGAATAGAAAGGAAAGTTCCCAGTTAGAAAAATAAAATCTGTTAAAAAAAACTATAGCTGACATAATACTTAATAATAAAAGAATGAATGCTTTCTTTGTAATAACAAGACAAGAATATCCACTCTCACCAGTTCAATGCACAAAATATGCTGGAATTTCTACAACAATAAAGCAAGAAAAAGAAATAAATGGTATACATATTGGAAAGGAAGAAAAAAAAACTGTTTATTTGAAGATGAGGTGATTGTCCATATAGAAAACCCTAAGGACAAAAACATACTGGAAATAATAAGCAATGTTGCAAGATACAAGATAAATATACAAAATCAATTGTACTTGTATATGCTAGTAACAAGCAATAGGAAACTGAAATTTAAAAAGCAATACCATTTAAAATAGTATCAAAAAATATAAAGTACTATGAACACATCTGACAAAATATGTGTAAGATTTGTACCCTAAAAAAACCGAAATATTTCTGAGAGAAATTAAAGAAGACCTAAATAAATTCAGAGATATACCATATACAAGTATATGGTTCAGCTTCAAAATTGATGTCAATTCTGCCCAAATTAGTATATAGACTCAACTCAATAGCAATCAAATTCTGAGCAGACATTGTTCATAGAAATCAACAGGCTGATTCTAAAGTTTATATGCAAATACAAAGGACCTAGAATAGGCAAAACAAATTGAAAAAAGAAAAATAAAGTTGGAGGGCTTACATTAACTGATTTCAGGCCTTATTATAAAGCTACATTTATCAGGACGATGTATCACTAGTACAAAGACAGGCATTTAGATCAATGCTATCAAATAGAGTCAAGAGATAAAGCCATACATACATGGTCCATTGAATTTTGAAAAAGGTGTCAAGAAATTCAATGGAAAATGATAACCTTTTTAAACAAATGATGCTGGAAGAACTGTAAAAAACAATTAACCTGGACCTCACACTACAAACAAAAATGAACTCGAAATGGATTATATAGATCTAAATGCAAGAGGCAAAATTATAAAACTTCTTGAAGAAAACATAAGCGACACCTTAGTGATTTTGAATTTGGCAGGTTTCTCAAAGTACAAATTATAAAAGAAAATAAATTAGACTTTGTAAAAATAATAAATTTTGCTCTTTCTTGTTAAGAAAATAAGAGGACAATCTACAGGGTGGAAGAAAATATTTGCAAACCCATATATCCAAGAGAGAACTTGTATCTAGAAGTTCTCTCTTACAACTTAATAATAAGAAGAAAAAGAATTCAACTTAAAACTTAAGAAGAGCCCTTACAACTTAAGAAGAAGAAAAACAATTCAATTTTAACATTTGCAAAATATTTTAAAAGCTACATTGACAAAGAATATGTAAAGATGGTAAAATAGCACATTAAAACATGTTCAAAATCATTAGTCAAAAGGGATATACCAATTAAAACTGCAATGAGATAGCACCATACACCCAATAGAAGGGCTAAAATTAAAGGAAAAACATGAATTGCTGGTGAGGATACTGAGCAAACAGGAACCCTGGACACTGATAGTCAGAATGTAAAATGGTTCAATCACATTGGAAAACAGCTGGGAGAGTTTCTTATAACTTAAACATAAATCTATCCTATGAACTAGCCATTCCACAACTAGATATATACCCAAGAGAAATAAAAGCATAAGCCTATATAAAGACTAGTATATGAATGTTCATTGCAATTTTATTTGCAATGACCTAAACCTGGAAATAACCTAAATGTTCATCAACAAGTAAATGAATCTGCAAATTGTGGCATGGAACACACCATTAAACAGGAATAAACTACTGATACATGGATGAATCTCAAAATAATAAGGTGAGTGAAAGAAGCCAAACCATAATACTGTGTGATTCCATTTACATAAATTTCTAGAAAATACAAATCCCTCCAGAGCAACAGACAGCAAATCAGTAGTTTCCCTGGGGGGTTGGGGGTGGGGGAAAGGTGGATTACAAAGGGGCAAAAGGAAACTTTTTTTTTTTTTTTTTTTTAAGCTGAGCCATCCTGCTACCTATTGGCAGCTCAGCGGCTGCTCAGCTCGGGCTGGACTCGAACCGCTGTTGCTCNGCTGCTCAGCTCGGGCTGGACTCGAACCGCTGTTGCTCAGAGCTCAAACTCTTGAGCGAGCTCTTAACCAACTGAGCCACTCGGCCGGCCCTAAAAAGGAAACTTTTGAGAGTAATGAGTATGTTCATTATTTTTACTCTAAAACTTGGTGAATATCGGAATCCATTTCCTCATAATGCTTACATACCTATTTTGTGTATGTACAGTTGGGCATTTCAGAAGGTAAGTAAGCTCTTATCAGAGAAAGAATATTACATAAATATTTAATGTATACCAATACTATAAAGATTTCCAGAATGCTTAGACAATAATGTTTTTGTCATTTTCTACAAAGTGAAACAATTTTACAACAAAAAAAGCAAAAAGGAAATAGACCTTTAGCACTTTTCAACAAACTTAATTCTGCTAAAAATATTACATAAAAGAGTATCATAACCTTTGTTGATATAGTCCAAAATAGTGTAGTGTGTTAATACTACACTGGTCTATAAATTCATGTCAACTAGGAACTAAACTGAAGGTTTAATATTTAACATTTGTTAATGGTAAAAAAAATATATAAAAATATGAGGAACACATAAGCAAATTGTATCTACCAAAAATAGTCAAAATATATTATCACCCTCAGATCGTTAATTAAAATTCATTGATAAGTCCTAGAAAATTAATATTTTTGGGGACTAATTTAAATATTTTTTTCATGTAAAACATCAGCTTACTTCATGTCAACATTCTTTATTTAATCGGTTCACACGGTGCTTACCTGGTTTAACAGCTCGCCCACAGAGCTGGGGTTGTAGAAGCACTTGTAACATGGCAGGGTTGTTTAAACTCTTCATAATTTGTACAGGATTTGGCTCTGGAAGTAAGCCCTTTTGATTACTGTGCATCTTCAATGAATATAGAAATAGAAAATATTAGGACAAGAACAAAAGATGAATTTTTAAAGGCTTCCTTCCAGAAATTCTCATTCATCTGATAAGATCTATTTTATGATAAACACAATTTGCTTTATATTATACATTTGTTCTGTACATTCTACCACAGTTCCTAATTATAATGTTAAGATATTCTACCATACAGCATATACTGAAATCCTCATAGAATATCTCAGTGAAATACAAATTGGCTTGAAGAGGACTAGTAAGATAAATTTCTTTGTACAAGTAGAAAGGTGCCAAGGGAATCTGAATTTATTAACTAGAAGATAACTTGACACAATATGAATACACTGATACCACAGAAGAGCCTTACTATAATGCTGATCTAAAGTGTAATAATGTGAGCTGCCTGACAAATAAAAAATTTTCTGGTAATAAAGGTCTTTATTTCATTAATTTAATCTTCTATTATGAGACAAAGATGAACTGGCCTTACATACACGTAAGTGGGTAGCTTCTTAAAACTATGAAATTGTTCTCAGTTTTAAAAACCAGCCTAATAGATGAAAATATTAGTATCCTGTTATAAGAGGAAAACTATAAACTTCTAGCCATGAAAAAATGGAGAACTGACAACAACTGGAATCTCTCTCCAAACCCAGATACCATGAAAGTGAGAGGGATAGGGTGATGGATCTGAGAACCTGACACTGATACAAAACTTATGAGAAATCCCTGGATGGGTAGAAACTAGTGGGTCCCAGTATGGAAGCAGACATCAGCAGAGAGCATGACAGAGCTTGGATCCACAGACAGGATGGTTTGGGGACGGGCTTTTTAGTTGTGTAACTATATGGATTCCTCCACACTGCCCTAGAGCAGAGTTAGCAAACTGTGGCTCGTGAGCCACATGCGGCTCTTTGGGTATGTACATGTGGCTCTGAGGTAAAATTGAAAATGAAAATAAAGCTATCATAGTTTCGTTTATAAAATTTTTAAAAGATATTAGTCACATAATGGTGATTTCATTTGTTTTATGGCTCTCGAATAATTTTCAAATTGTTGTGAGGGATAGGACTGGCTCTTCCGTCTCAAAAGTTTGCCGACCACTGCCCTAGAGGAATCATGGTTTTCCCGGCTGGCACAACAAGAAGGGAAAACAGCAGGGTGAAAAAGGTGAAGGGATTAAGAAGTATAAATTGGTAGTTACAAAATAGTCACAGGGATGTTATGTACAGCATAGGGAATATAGTCAATAACTATATATAGTGCCAGGTGCATACTAGATTAATCTGGGGATCACTTCATAAATTATATAAATTTCTAATGACTATGCTATATACCTGAAACTAATATATTACTGAATGTCAACTGTAAATTAAAAACAAAAAGTAATAGAAAAAAATAATCACTACTAAAAAACAAAGAAAACAAGGAGAAGAAAAAATACTTAAATCATTTAATGAGGTCACTGTTTTCTTGATTTCAAAATTAAATAAGGATGGTACAAAAAATTTAAGCATTTTTCACTTATGAGCACATTTGCACATATACCAAATGAAATAATACCTAATCTAATCAAACAATGCATTAGAAAAAAATCGTTATTAACTATGGTTTATAACACAAGGATGGCTTAACATTAGAAAATCTATCAATGTGATTCAGCATATTAATAAATTTAGGGAGAAATCACATAATTATCTCAATAGTTACAGAAAGTTCAGTACCTATTTTTGATTTTTTTTTTAAATCTCAGAAAACTTGATAAACAATATATGCCAAGAACCTACAGAAAACATAAATGTGATACATTACTTGTGAGACTGAGAAAAATTTAAGATTTCTCACTAGCATTGATATCTGATCATGAAGGGCCCTGTATGCTATGCTAAGAAATTTGAACTTATACCGGCATTAAAGAATATTAAGCAAGAGAAAGACATAATATGATATGAGGATGAGAAAGATGGCTCTTGTGGCTCATCTGTGCAAGATGGATGAGAAAGGGAAAGGCTAACGACATGGTGATGACATGGTGTTATTCTAATCATCAAGGTAAGAAAAGATGAGATCCTGAGTAAAGTAACAAAGACGCTGACAAGTCTCAAGGATTTAAGAGACATCAATGGTGGTACAACTGAAAGGACTGGTTAATACTTTTGCCATTTAGATTTGGGGAGTGGGTGAGGGAAAACCAATGAGGATTACCTGAGTTTTTGGTTCAGATAGTTCTAGTTTGGATGAACTGACGCTATATATAGATATTACAGAACATAGAAAAGCAAGTCCCACAGAAAATTAGTTTCCTTTTGGAGATGTTGAAATTGAACTCTTTATATAACACAAAGGTAGTATTTTCTAATAATCATTTGGAAATACAGATTTAGTGCTCATTAGTTTGGACCAAAAATATATGCTTGGAAGTAATTACGGATAAGCAATAAATTCCCCATTGTTCATCGAATTCAGTCTAAATTCTCTGAGTGCTCAAAAGTGCTCCCTGACTTGGCATCAACTGACCATTTCAGCATACATCCCTTTATACACTCAGTCCACCTAGACCACTTACCACTCCGCAAGCATGCAAATTCACGTCATACTACTGCTTGAAAGGTTTTGTTCTACCTAGAGTTTGACCACTCACTCTCTCTCTCTCCTTAGGGATGCCAGATTTAACAAGTAAAAATACAGGACACCCAGTTAAATCTGGGTTTCAGATAAACAATGAATAGTTTTTTTAATTTAATTGTGTGTCTCATGCAAAATCTGCCTCTGACAACCCTATTCTCTACCCCCATGAACATGTTTCAAAATCATACTTCAATGTCACACTCAAATATTACTCTTGTCATGAAGTCTTCCCTGATCCCTTCAAAAGATATTCCTTCCTTCCTTCAACCAGCAAATATTTACTATGCTAAGTGCTAGGAGTAAAAACTAAAGAAGGAATAGTCTCTATCAATATGGAACTTCCAGACCAGAGAAGTAAAGAGAGGAGGAATAAGGAGGCGATTACAATAGAGAAGTAGCGACAACGTGCGAATGTGAGCAAAAATGAAGCCCACACCTTCCTCTACTTGTACAATGAATACTTATGAACACTTTACGAAACAGGCATGTTGCCCTGAAAATTTAGAACACAACAGGAACTCAATATTTGGTGAATGAATGAAATCCTTTCAAAAAAATGTCCTAAGATAAATACACTGAAACACAGTGTCTTCTTTTGTAATGACTCTTGGCTTGATTTGACTGAGATACCACTTGCTAATTTTTAAAAATGAAGAATGCCTTTATGCACTGAGAATGTAATGAAGGTCCAATCAATGGACAGTTAGTTTGAAGAGGTTAAAATAGTATTAGGATTTTTCTCTATGCTAATAAAGAACAGCAAACTTACCACACGTTGAGCGGCTATCAAGGCTGCTAACGTGCTTCGCCCTGGGGCTCCTGGGGCGCAGAAGGAAACTTGGACTTTGCTTCTCTTGATGGTCATACCATCAGCTGCGCGCTGAACCTCCTCAGCATGCTCTGCAGTGTTATATTCAACCACTGCAAAGCCACCGGCATAGCTACCTTCATCCTGTGCAAGCTGATGCAATACATTGTGTTAAAAGGGAATTGTATTATGTAGGTAGAAATATTTATATACAGTATATAATTTTCAAATTCAAGGACAAATGAGGCAGAGCATGATACTGGTGAAAATAATGTTCTTTCTCTCTAAAAATCAAAGTTGACTAGTTGCTTAGATGCGGTCCTTCTGGAAGACAGGGTGATAAACAAGATTCTGTCATTGCTTTTTAATTCTTTGATTTTCTAATTTTAATAGTAAAAGCCCAAATGATAATAGTAACCTATATATTAAGAAATATATGTAAGTGATAATTTATAGAAAAATATGGGGACACAATTAAAACTTTCTTTAAATTCACCAGATACATGGGACTATGAAACATACTAAAACAATTATTTGACCACATCATCTATATAAAATAAAGCTTGTTTATCATCAAGAGACGAAAGGTAGGAGGATCCACATTCAACTTTTATTTCAATATTCTAAGCAGATCTCAGGAATTTGGTCAAGTATACTAAAGCAAACCTTATTTGGGAAAACTATGCCCCAGGTTTATTAAAATACCATATGCAACACACAACCTTTATTTCTAGATGTGTCCTAAATAAACTCCTAAAATGTAGAACTCAATTTATTTCCAGTCACCCACCTGTAAGAGTGTAAAGGAAGATACTAAAATCCTGGATCTGTAAAGACTGGTACAAAGAGCAAAAATAAGAACAATATAAGACACTAAAAAGTTTCTCAGTTTTGAACATGTCTAAATTATCGTAAACATGTCTAAATATTCACGCTATAGAGTGATAAATGAGGTAACATTCAGCTTGGTATGTCTTTGAGAAGAGACATCTACAGTGCTTCTATTTGGATTTGGCACCTCCTAAGTTAATATTACAAGTAAATAATTTGTAGTTTTCTTTTCTCTTATTTTTGACGCTTAACTTTCTTTTCCTTTCTTGTATAGTTAGATCGAGTTTCTGTTTTTCCTTCATATTATTCGCTCTTTTAAAAACTGCCCTCAAATGTTTTTTTCTCCATAAAGCTTTTTCCCATCACATGGGAGAAAGGAAAAACATCTACCTCTTCCAAACATTTCTCCTACAACCCTATTCCTTGTGTAATCCAAACCAGATCTTAAAATCCGATTTGTAAAAGCCATTAAGTCTCTTTTGATCACAACAGACTGTGTCTTCAATATAGTCTAGGTCAACCTACCAAGCAAAGGAGCCTGAATTTAACAGATCCACTGATAAAGGCATCATAAAGATGTTTTTACTAATATTTTAAAACATTTCTTATTCCTGGTTCGTTATGTAACCTTCATGCCTATATAAATTACAATACCATTTTAAATTTTTCAAAAGACAAAATCATCTAAGTTTACAGCATCAGTAGTTTTAGAGAGGAATATTTCAGTTTGATATGAGAGCCATTCAAATATATAAATGGTCTGACTTATGATCCAATTAATGTTCCATTATTTTGAAATATTTTAACAGAAGCTAAATTGTCACTCACAAATATTGTAACAATATTTTTCCTTTCTTTTTTTTAATTAATTATTTTTATTGTTAGTTTCAGGTGTACAGAACATTGCAATAGTTATCCTTTTCACCCTTCACACAGAAACCCCCTCCCCCATCTACTGCCCTCCCACCCCTCGATTTTTCTATGAGATGGCAAGGTACTACACTAGATAACTGCTCAAGTTCCTTCAACTCTGGGATTCATAATTCAAATACAATTTGAATTAAAAAAACAAATAAATGGCTTTTCCCCTCACAATTGTTTCAAAGGCCTCAACTAAAGCTACAAAGAATTATGTATGGGTACAGGATTCACTATACAATTCTTAGTATCAAGAATAACATATATAATTGCTTCTCGGCCTTTTGGCTAAGATCAAGTGAAGAATAACATATTAAGACAATCAACTTGCAATAACAGCAAAGATTTGATAAAAAACTTGCCACAAAATTTTTTTTTTTTTTTAAGATTTTTATTGGGGAATTGGGGGATGGGAACAGCGCTGGGGAATTGGGGGAAGGGGAACAGACAAGTTGCTGTCATTTTGTTCCTCAATCTAGTTGTGGAGGATGGTGCCCCACTGGCCTAAGTTGGCACCATCACTGCGCTCTTCCCGGGCGAGGCAGATCAGTCGCTGGCCTCTGGATGGCCACTCACTGCGGCTGCTGGCCGCTCACGCTGGCTGCTGGCCACACACGGTATCTCATGGCAACCCACTGCCACAGGGGCTGCAGCCTGCGCCGTCGCCAGCGACTCACGGCAGCCGAGCTCCAGGTTGAGCTGTTGTTTAGCATCTTAGCTGCGGAGGGCAGCGTCACTGGCCCTCATATGTGGGATTCGAACCGGGGCCCTCTGGCGTCCAAGCCAGTTCCCAACCATCGCGCCACTCTGCCGGCCCCTTGCCACAAAATTTTATAAAGCTCTTGGAGGCTTCTTTGATGCTTAGTATATTGGGATTAAAGAGGTGGAAATTTTTTAAAAAGTAAGATGGTGGCATTAATCACATATATATGTGTATATCTCCAACTCCAAACTTCCTACTGCTATTGTAGAGACTCAAAAAATATATGATTAAAGAAAAAAAGGGGTGGGGATGGGAGGTAAGAGAAGGGGAGCGAGAGAAAAAGGGTTCATCAGTTACTATCAAACCTCTGTAACAGAAGTTATACATAGTAAGCATTTTTGTCTATTTAGTAGAACCTATTTAATTTTACTATGATAAAGTGCTTGAAAATTCTTGACAGTATTGTCTGTTTTCAGGATCTTCCCTAAATGTCTCACTTACCATGACCCCATTAAGATAAAATGATATGTTCTTTTTAAACCTTATTATCCTTTTCTATCTTCCATCATATCACTCTTTATCCAGGATTTACAATTATTGGATTACTTGTCCATCTCTTCTACAAAACTGTGAGGTATTGAGAGAGTATCTTTCTATTAATTATATTTCTGACACTTAGCAATAGTGTCTGGCACAGAGAAGGTGATAAATAAAATTTGGATGGGTGAATGCTTTAATGGATGAATGATTTAATGAATGGATGAAATGAGAAGGTGAATAAATAATGGATTTGCTAAGACATACTTAACTATATAACAATATAGTTTGGCCCATCAACAAAAGGAAGCAATTTAAAATTTACCATGATATTAAAGTCTTCATTACAGACTAAAGCAGGATTAGTTGTCCACTGTGATATTCACATAGGTATAATAAATTGGTGAGTGCATGCAAAATAGATACGTATGCAGACATTTTTAAATATTTCAAGTAGTATCTTAAGAATACATACCTGGCAAAACACGGGTTTATGGATACTGGAAAAAAATTGCAACAGCTCCTCTGAATCCCTGTAGCCACCAGGGAGCTTATCTACACAAAGGCACTTCGAATGGATGAGCTCTGCGGCCAACAGATTAACATCCATCCACTGTGCGAAGAGGACTGATGCTCCCAACTGTTTGCCCAATAGCTCCAATCTGGCCTTTGCAGCAAAGTCCTTTTTCATGTATTCCACAAATCCATAGCCTTTGGAATGGCCAGTAACTTCACTATAGACCAGAAAACATCTCTCGATGTTTCCATAAGCGCGAACAAGTTCTTCAAACTCTTCTAATGTAAAAGAAGTGGGCAAGTTGGTAATGCACAGCAAAGCGTCTGTTGGCTGGAGCTGGACTGTTAAGTCTTTTCCTCGAAAAGAATATTGATGAAACATCTGAATTGCATTCTGGGCTTGTTCCCCATTCAATAAGGTAACAAAAGCTGGAAGATCATAAAATAAAGGAAAACGTTTTGTAAGCCAGTGTTTGCAAACTTCTTAAACTATGACTCACAGTAAGAAACATAATACATTTTATGTTTCTGACTCTGTACACACACACACTTGAAATAAAAGTATCAGAAAGTTAATGCTCCTACCATATGAAATACACTCTGATATTTTCTATTCCATTTCATTGTTTTTTACTGCTGACACCCCCACAAAAGTAACACCATCACAAGTAGCTTCAATTAAAAATATAGAAGTCATATTAGGAATTGCCCTAGAAGATACTACAATATTCTGTAATTTTTGTAATCTTTTCAGACTACAGATTTTCATTTCTTTCCCCTAGCAACTAGTGATGCAAAATTTTATGAAGCCTTGAAACCTTTCTTCCCATAAAGTCCTAAAAGACCCTATTTGATAACAAGGACCTAAAAAACAAAGGTATAGCAAAAAAAGACAACAAAATGCCCAGAGGAAAGCAGTTCTTTCCATAAAATCAGATTTATTAGATTGAAACAACAACACACACATATACTTTTTGGATGAACAATATGGTATGAAAAGGTGAAGAATTATGATATTGGACAAGTAGCTATTATAAAACAACAAAAAGAAAATTCATGGCAAGCATGTAAAAGCTTTTTTCCTCAATGTATCCTATTTTAATACAATTATTTCTTCTTATCTATTATAGAATGTTCTGGTTGTAAAGTCATAGTTTATAACTGTAACTGCATTTTATCAATCTATTTATTATTAATTATCTGGTTCTTCAAGCACCACCATAGCGAAATCCAAGGCAACATCATTTAATACAATTATTAAGTTTCTTTGTTGTATTATTTTGGTGGGTGATTTAGGGTTTATAGTATACATCTATTGGGTTGTCGGAAAAGTCATGACACATGTTCGCGACAGATGGCACTAGTTCATTTTTAGAAGTACTAGAGTCATTCGCATCTATGTTATTGCTACGTCATTTGACAGCTGACAGTTTTAGCTTCATTCTAAAAAAAATTGAGCGATTTGGTTGAGTTTTGGAGATTTTACAAGTTGAAGATGGAAGACCAAACTGTGCATTTTTGCCATATT